AATATCCCAAGCTCAGATACCCCACCAAATGACTACCTCACTGGCAACTACCCGAACACACTGTTCCTAGCTCCGACTAACCCATACGAAGTCTCCCTTATTATCAACGCACTGAAAACAAGGCAGGAGATTTAAATACCTTACCACCCTTTATATACAAAAAAGCGTCCCCAAGTACTATCACCAATCATTGCAACACTTTAACAAATCCATTGAATCCTCACCTTCCCTACAGTTCTCAAAATAGCAAGGGTCCCCGATCCATAAAGGAGTGACCAGAGTTGAATAACTATAGGCCAATATCCAATTTACATCCTCTCTCAAAATCTTCGAAAAATTAATTCATAAACGAATCTACTCCTACCTCATCTCCCATAACATTCTCAACCCCTGCCAATTTGGATTCAGGCCTAATAAAAATACTAATGATGCTATTATACACATGCTAGAACATATATACACTGCAATAGAGAAAAAAGAAGTCCCTCTGGGGATCTTCATTGACTTACGTAAAGCTTTTGATACAGTTGACCATGACTTGCTCCACGTAAAATTGTCACACTATGGTATAAGAGGGCACCTCCCTCAACTACACTCAAGTCTTACCTCAGCAACAGAAGCCAATATGTGTACTCAAATGGGGCAAGCTCTTCCGCACAACCAATTTCAGTTGGTGTCCCACAGGGACGTGTCCTAGGCCCTCTTCTCTTTCTCCTATACATAAATGACCTACCAAATGCTTCGCAATTACTCAAACCCACACTTTTTGCAGATGACACTACATACGTCTTCTCTCACCCGAGCCCAGTCACGCTAGCCAATACTGTAAACACCGAATTACTAAACATAGAAAATATCTACCTGATGAGGACTAAAAAACTTACACTAAACATTGACAAAACCTACTTCATTCAGTTTGGTAGCTGAGCTACAGATGTACTCTTAACATAACGATAAACAGATCACCTATCACAAAGCTAACAGAGGAAAATTCTTAGGAATCCACCTTGATAATAGACTCAAATTTCATACACATATACAACAAATTTCTAAGAAAATTTCCAAGACTGTAGGCATACTATCGAAGATACGGTACTATGTTCCACAGTCAGCCCTCCTGGCCCTTTATCACTCTCTTATTTACCCCTATCTTACTATGGAATTTGTGCATGGGGCTCAACAACAATTAACCATCTCAGACCACTAATTACCCAACAAAAGGCTGCAGTTAGAATGATAACAAATTCCCACTACAGGCAGAAACACTCCACCAATATTCAAAACACTCAACCTACTCACAATACAAAACATCCATACTTATTACTGCACCTATTACATACATAGAACACTTAACTCTGATATAAACCCTCCCCTCAAACATTGTGGAAATTTATTTGGTCCAAATAGTTCCACAGCTCAGATCCAGCATGAGCGTCTGGTCGTCTGAGCCGAGCGACCCTTAAACCCTCCCAAACAAGCAAGGCATTCTCTGGTTGGCGGTTGGTAAGCTTATTTAATTTATAGATTTACTCTTCAGGGAAGGAGTAGGTAGGTTTACTGGTAATACACTAATATTAGGTTTACTAAGGCATCTGTAGATAATGATAGAGTAGACCTAAGACCTTAACATAGGTAGTAATAGGCCGATAATGTAGGCAAACAGTAGGATAAGTTAGCTAGGGAGAACTGGCAGCCCTAGCTTGATTGGCGGGGCGCAGGTCACAAAGACAGAATAGCGTCCTTCTTACGATAGACTTCGACTGGACAAGACGTGCCGTGAACATCAAGCGGCGCCCCCACGTGTCTTCACATCTGAGACCTGGGGAAATCTGGTAGAGACACCTCGATGTACCGTAGATGATCTCCTCCATCAGCCCATACAGTAAGACGAGATATTCACCTTTTCCCGTAGGATCTGGCCAGTGATTTAGGAGATTGTGAGTTGAGTTAACTGAGGGCTCGGCGTGCTACAGAGAGAGTATGCCCAGTAAGTACCAGCGTCTCAGAGTCGTCTGAAGCTAGCGTCTGAGTCTGCATAGTTATACTAGGGGATACATACCCTCTGGATATAGGAATTTCTGAGGTGCAGGCAGGACGCTAATAACGATTGAATATTGCAGGATTTAATGCTCCCGGTTGCACGTGGTTCCTAAGGGGAAGTCCAAAGGGGCTAAAGCTAGGCTTAGGAAGTTGAAGATCAGGATATATGCTGCAACACCAAGTAAGTTAGTCCTTTATACGTGCATGCAGGCAAAGTTTCTTGCAATACCAATCATTTGTGAAAATCTGTCCTATAAGCCACTTGTGAGGCTGAGGTACCCACCTCAGAACTCGGTGTCAACAGAGTTTGCCAGGGTAGGCGACTCACTTGGAGGCAGCCCACACAAATTTTCACAAACATCTCCTTGCCAACCTCAACAGAACACATGACCATAACACAAGGCACAGATCACTCTTTGATGTTCCTCGTGTCCATCTCACACTATGCAAAAACTCAATGCACATAAAAGGCCCTAAAATCTGGAATTCATTACCTGTAAATATAAAAGAAACACTACCTGTTTATAAATTCAAGTCTCTTCTCAAAGATCACTTAATCACTCAAAACCAAATAAATACTGAATAACTGAACCTTATAAATTGTATATCTTAAATGTTTCTCACAATTATATCACATAAATGTTAAACCTAACTTTATTATTTTTTAAATACACTACCTAACAGAATACTCCATACGACTGAATGAACAGCAATGCATGCAACCATATGACCTGTCTTTGTAATACTCATTTGTATTTTATAGTTATCTGTTTACAATAATGTTTTATCACTGATTACATCATTGCTTAGTTAATCTTAAGTTAATTTTAAGCCAGCCCGTAGTGCTATGCATATAAGTGGCTTTGGCATGCTGCTCTTACCTGTATTTTTTTGTACCTCTGTATGTGTGCTAAATTTCTAAATAAATAAATAAATAAATAAATAAATAAATGCTCAGCAACACAGTAAATGACCATATGACCTGTCTTTGTAATACTCATTTGTGCTTAATTGTTAACTGTTTATAACAATGTTTACCACTGAATATATCATTGCTTAGTTAATCTTAAGATAATTTTAAGCCTGACCATAATGCTCTACATACAAGGGGCTTTTGGTATGTTAAACTTAACCACTGTATTTCTTTGTACTTCTATGTATCATGTTCAAATCAATCAATCAATCAATCAATAACAACACTGTGACTAACCAAGGAGTCGAACCCATGCTGCTTTGGCCACACAATTCTCAATAACGACGCACCCAGCCAAGCTAGGTGTTGCACCCGTCATCCGAGGACATACGATGGTATTGGGAATGGCTGTCTACCGAGGAGAGACAGGCACCTAGCAACATCTGTTGTTGGGGCAATGGATGAATTCCCTGCTATGTTTGTTAACTGCTCATTACTCTGTAATTTGTCTATGATTGTAATCATGTCATAACGTGTTTATCATTCATTACCTTTGAAACTTGTCATGATTGTGACCAGCTCTACCTGGAGCTCATTACCTTTGTAACTTGGTCATGATTATGACCAGATCTAGTTCATTACCTTTGTAACTTGCTCAGCTATCAAAACTTTGGAGTCCAGTCCCTGGACCAATTATGTACCTCTGTAATCTTTTGACTACCGCCCACAGGATGGGTATGGGGTGACTACCGCCCACAGGATGGGTATGGTGTGACTACCGCCCACAGGATGGGTATGGTGTGACTACCGCCCACAGGATGGGTATGGTGTGACTACCGCCCACAGGATGGGTATGGGGTGACTACCGCCCACAGGATGGGTATGGTGTGACTACCGCCCACAGGATGGGTATGGGGTACATAATAAACATATTAAACTAAAACTAAACCATGAACTAGAGCGTCATGAGTTCTCGTCCAGCATGAGGCAGGGCAAAACAGCATGGGTTCGACTCCTTGGCTAGTCACAGTATTGTTATTGATCAATACAACTTGTTCGTGGTTATAATAATAGTAATATGTGTAAATTACCTTCCAGGATAACTCGAAAAAAGTGAAAAAATGTGACTTATTTCCACTGGGATTTTTATAATATATTATAATAATAATAATAATAATAATAATAATAATAATAATAATAATAATAATAATAATTATTATTATTATTATTATTATTATTATTATTATTATTATTATTTATTATTATTATTATTAATTATTATTATTATTATTATTATTATTATTATTATTATTATTATTATTATTATTATTATTATTATTATTATCATCTGCTTAATATTAATATGTACTAACATAATATTAAATTTTCATGTACCATTGTTACTCCTAAATTAACATTAACAATCATCTAAGGGATCATTTATATAAAACCATGTGTGACTGTATTAAGTTAGTGTTAAGTTTACTTAACATACTGTACACATTAGTTAATGTTAAGTTTACTTGACATACTCTACTCATTAAGTTAATGTTAAGTTTACCAAACATACTCTACACATTAAGTTAATGTTAAGTTTACCTAACATACTCTACACACTAATAAACTTCCTTCATACACATTATAATATAATTTATCTTTATACAAACATTATATCATAAATAAAGTATCTTTATGTATCTTTATATTTATGTTACTTATAATGACCTACGAGCGTAAAATATCTCATATTGTTACTTATATTTTCTCCTCAGTTTTCTAAATGTTTAGAAACATTAGAAGACTAAATAACAATAAATAACAATAATTTAAGCTTGAATTAAGGTGGAGTAAAATTTATTTTGAGGATAAAGATAACTTAACCGGGAACACCGACCATACCAGTCGCTTTATTTGACCTTATTACAGTCCTTTAACACCTCAATAATAACTTATTTATACCAGATAAAATCCCTTGTGGGTTTAGCGCTTAGTACTGATTATAATCATGATAAAAATCAACCAAATAAGGGAGGAAAACGTGAATTATATTGTAGTGGGAAGTGTAGGTGAGAGCAGTGTTGCAGGAGCAGTGTTGCAGGGAGGAGCAGTGTTGCAGGAGCAGTGTTGCAGCAGCCTGCACGGCCTGCACCTGCCACTACCATTATCTCAGCTGGGGAAGATGACTCTACAGGCTATAAAGTGGCAGGATAACCAGCTGTACGTGCTGGACCAGCTGCTGCTGCCTTTGGAGAGTCAATACATCAATGTGAGGGACGTGAAGGATGGATGGCAGGTCATCAGTAAGATGCAGGTAATGTGGTGGATGGCAGGTCATCAGTAAGATGCAGGTAATGTGGTGGATGGCAGGTCATCAGTAAGATGCAGGTAATGTGGTGGATGGCAGGTCATCAGTAAGATGCAGGTAATGTGGTGGATGGCAGGTCATCAGTAAGATGCAGGTAATGTGGTGGAAATGGCAGGTCATCAGTAAGATGCAGGTAATGTGATGGATGGCAGGTCATCAGTAAGATGCAGGTAATGTGATGGATGGCAGGTCATCAGTAAGATGCAGGTAATGTGGTGGATTGGCAGGTCATCAGTAAGATGCAGGTAATGTGGTGGATGGCAGGTCATCAGTAAGATGCAGGTAATGTGGTGGATGGCAGGTCATCAGTAAGATGCAGTAATGTGGTGGATGGCAGGTCATCAGTAAGATGCAGGTAATGTGGTGGATGGCAGGTCATCAGTAAGATGCAGGTAATGTGATGGATGGCAGGTCATCAGTAAGATGCAGGTAATGTGGTGGATGGCAGGTCATCAGTAAGATGCAGGTAATGTGGTGGATGGCAGGTCATCAGTAAGATGCAGGTAATGTGGTGGATGGCAGGTAAATCAGTAAGATGCAGGTAATGTGGTGGATGGCAGGTCATCAATAAGATGCAGGTAATGTGGTGGATGGCAGGTCATCAGTAAGATGCAGGTAATGTGGTGGATGGCAGGTCATCAGTAAGGTGCAGGTAATGTGGTGGATGGCAGGTCATCAGTAAGATGCAGGTAATGTGGTGGATGGCAGGTCATCAGTAAGATGCAGGTAATGTGGTGGATGGCAGGTCATCAGTAAGATTCAGGTAATGTGGTGGATGGCAGGTCATCAGTAAGATGCAGGTAATGTGATGGATGGCAGGTCATCAGTAAGATGCAGGTAATGTGGTGGATGGCAGGTCATCAGTAAGATTCAGGTAATGTGGTGGATGGCAGGTCATCAGTAAGATGCAGGTAATGTGGTGGATGGCAGGTCATCAGTAAGATGCAGGAAGTTTTAGCAGTAAAGGTCGAGAACCAAAACCTAGTCATTGTGGTAGTCTACAAGCCTCCGGATGCAACATCCCAGCAATTCCAGGAACAGCTGTTAAAAATTGACCACTGTCTGGAAAATCTTCCAGCTCCTGCACCCAACATCTTGCTCCTGGGGGATTTCAACTTAAGGCACCTAAAATCGAGGAATATAGCAAATAATATTGTTGCAGAAATAACACCAGGAGGCAGCTCTGATGAAAACTCACACTCACACGAGCTTTTAAATCTCTGCACAAAATTCAATTTAAACCAGCAAATAATAGAGCCTACTAGACTGGAGAATACACTAGACCTCATATTCACTAACAATGATGATCTGATAAGAAATGTCACCATATCAAAAACAAATATACTCAGATCACAACATAATTGAGGTTCAGACATGTATGCGAGGAGCCCCAGACCGACAAAATGAGACTAGTCACGAGGGAGCATTCACCAAATTCAACTTCAATAACAAAAACATAAAGTGGGACCAAGTAAACCAAGTCCTAACCGATATAAGCTGGGAAGTTTATACTAGCAAACAGACCCAAACTTATGCCTAGAACAGATTAACTCGGTGGCACTCGATGTATGCACAAAGGCTTTTCCTCTAAGAAAAAGGAGGAGTAGAGGGTAAAATAGAAAGAGACAGGCGCTCCCTTATACAGGCGACGGAAAAAGAATAACAAGCGGCTAAAAGAGGTCAATATATCTGAAATGCGCAGGGAGACACTGGTCAGAGAAATAGCAAGCATCGAACTTAAGCTAAAAGAATCCTTAGGAGTCAGGAATCCGGGAAGAACTAAAAGCTATAAATGAAATCGAAAGAAACCAAAGTATTTTTTCTCCTATGCCAAATCAAAATCGAGAACAACGCCCCAGTATTGGGCCCCTACTTAAACAAGATGGGTCCTACCACAGATGACAGCAAGGAAATGAGTGAGCTACTCAAGTCCCAATATGACTCAGTTTTTAGCAAGCCGCTAACCAGACTGAGAGTCGAAGATCAAAATGAATTTTTTATGAGAGAGCCACAAAATTTGATTAACACAAGCCTATCCGATGTTATCCTGACGCCAAATGACTTCGACAGGCGATAAATGACATGCCCATGCACCTGCCCCAGGCCAGACTCATGAACTCTGTGTTCATCAAGAACTGCAAGAAGCCCTATCACGAGGCTTTCCATCCTATGGAAGGGAGCATGGACACGGGTCGTCCCTCAGTTACTAAAAACAACAGACATAGCCCCACTCCACAAAGGGGCAGTAAGAACAGCAAAGAACTACAGACCAATAGCACTAACATCCCATATCATAAAATTCTTGGAAAGGGTCCTAAGAAGCAAGATACCACCCATCTAGAAACCCATCAGTTACACAACCCAGGGCAACATGGGTTTAGAACAGGTCGCTCCTGTCTGTCTCAACTACTGGATCACTACGACAAGGTCCTAAATGCACTAGAAGACAAAAAGATGCAGATGTAATATAATACAGACTTTGCAAAAGCCTTCGACAAGTGGGGACCATGGCGTAATAGCGCACAAAATGCTCGCTAAAGGAATAACAGGAAAAGTCGGTCGATGGATCTATAATTTCCTCACTAACAGAACACAGAGAGTAGTCGTCAACAGAGTAAAGTCCGGGGCAGCTACGGTGAAAAGCTCTGTTCCACAAGCACAGTACTAGCTCCCATCTTTTTTCCTCATCCTCATATCCGACATAGACAAGGATGTCAGCCACAGCACCGTGTCTTCCTTTGCAGATGACACCCGAATCTGCATGACAGTGTCTTCCATTGCAGACACTGCAAGGCTCCAGGCGGACATCAACCAAATCTTTCAGTGGGCTGAAGAAAACAATATGAAGTTCAACGATGAGAAATTTCAATTACTCAGATATGGTAAACATGAGGAAATTAAATCTTCATCAGAGTACAAAACAAATTCTGGCCACAAAATAGAGCGAAACACAACGTCAAAGACCTGGGAGTGATTATGTCGGAGGATCTCACCTTCAAGGACCATAACATTGTATCAATCGCATCTGCTAGGAAAATGACAGGATGGATAATGAGAACCTTCAAAACTAGGGAGGCCAAGCCCATGATGACACTCTTCAGGTCACTTGTTCTATCTAGGCTGGAATATTGCTGCACTCTAACAGCACCTTTCAAGGCAGGTGAAATTGCCGACCTAGAAAATGTACAGAGAACTTTCACGGCGCGCATAACGGAGATAAAACACCTAAATTACTGGGAGCGCTTGAGGTTTCTAAACCTGTATTCCCTGGAACGCAGGAGGGAGAGATACATGATTATATACACCTGGAAAATCCTAGAGGGACTAGTACCAAACTTGCACACGAAAATCACTCACTACGAAAGCAAAAGACTTGGCAGACGATGCACCATCCCCCAATGAAAAGCAGGGGTGTCACTAGCACGTTAAGAGACCATACAATAAGTGTCAGGGGCCCGAGACTGTTCAACTGCCTCCCAGCACACATAAGGGGGATTACCAACAGACCCCTGGCAGTCTTCAAGCTGGCACTGGACAAGCACCTAAAGTCAGTTCCTGATCAGCCGGGCTGTGGCTCGTACGTTGGTTTGCGTGCAGCCAGCAGCAACAGCCTGGTTGATCAGGCGCTGATCCACCAGGAGGCCTGGTCACGGACCGGGCCGCGGGGGCGTTGACCCCCGAAACTCTCTCCAGGTAAACTCCAGGTAATGTGGTGGATGGCAGGTCATCAGTAAGATGCAGGTAATGTGGTGGATGGCAGGTCATCAGTAAGATGCAGGTAATGTGGTGGATGGCAGGTCATCAGTAAGATGCAGGTAAATGTGGTGGATGGCAGGTCATCAGTAAGATGCAGGTAATGTGGTGGATGGCAGGTCAAACAGTAAGATGCAGGTAATGTGATGGATGGCAGGTCATCAGTAAGATGCAGGTAATGTGGTGGATGGCAGGTCATCAATAAGATGCAGGTAATGTGGTGGATGGCAGGTCATCAGTAAGATGCAGGTAATGTGGTGGATGGCAGGTCATCAATAAGATGCAGGTAATGTGGTGGATAGCAGGTCATCAATAAGATGCAGGTAATGTGATGGATGGCAGGTCATCAGTAAGATGCAGGTAATGTGGTGGATGGCAGGTCATCAATAAGATGCAGGTAATGTGATGGATGGCAGGTCATCAGTAAGATGCAGGTAATGTGATGGATGGCAGGTCATCAGTAAGATGCAGGTAATGTGGTGGATGGCAGGTCATCAGTAAGATGCAGGTAATGTGATGGATGGCAGGTCATCAATAAGATGCAGGTAATGTGATGGATGGCAGGTCATCAGTAAGATGCAGGTAATGTGATGGATGGCAGGTCATCAATAAGATGCAGGTAATGTGATGGATGGCAGGTCATCAGTAAGATGCAGGTAATGTGGTGGATGGCAGGTCATCAGTAAGATGCAGGTAATGTGATGGATGGCAGGTCATCAATAAGATGCAGGTAATTTTGATGGATGGCAGGTCATCAGTAAGATGCAGGTAATGTGGTGGATGGCAGGTCATCAGTAAGATGCAGGTAATGTGGTGGATGACAGGTCATCAGTAAGATGCAGGTAATGTGGTGGATGGCAGGTCATCACCAAGATGCAGGTAATGTGGTGGATGGCAGGTCATCAGTAAGATGCAGGTAATGTGGTGGATGGCAGGTCATCAGTAAGATGCAGGTAATGTGATGGATGGCAGGTCATCAGTAAGATGCAGGTAATGTAATGGATGGCAGGTCATCAACAAGATGCAGGTAATGTGGTGGATGGCAGGTCATCAACAAGATGCAGGTAATGTGGTGGATGGCAGGTCATCAGTAAGATGCAGGTAATGTGGTGGATGGCAGGTCATCAGTAAGATGCAGGTAATGTAATGGATGGCAGGTCATCAATAAGATGCAGGTAATGTGGTGGATGGTA